AAAAATAAATAAATAAAAAATAAAAGTTAATTTGAAGTTACTGGAGTCATTGAAAGATCATAAAAAAGTAAAAATAAATTGGAAAAAAAGTTAATTTGCGGTCATAAGTTCTAGCATCACTATAGAAAACTGGGAACCAGAGCACGTAAATCACATCCTGCATGCAAGCTCCATGAGGATACTAGCCTTTTTTGTGCTGTTTGTACTCTATCCCCAGGGCTCCTTAAATATCTGTATAATAAGTTGATGTTACCAAAAGAGGGAAAACTGCAAATCAGAAAAAGTTCTAGATTGAAGGCATTCAAAGACAGTCTGGGCATAGTGGCTCAAGCCTTTAGTCCCAGCTACTTGGGAGGTTGAGGAAGGAGGATCACTTTAGCCCAGGAGTTAGAGACTACACAGAGCTGTGATTGTGCCACTGCATTCCAGTCTGGGTGACAGAGTGAGACCTTGGCTCCAAAAACAAAAAAATAAAATAAAAGACAGCTTGAACCCATTCATGGCCCACCAACCTTCACCTGCTGATATCCACATACTCCTACATCTGAAGCCTAAAGAATGAAGGGGAAATGAAGTAGCGTTGCCAGAACACAGGGCTCTCCTGGGGTCCTGTGGCTCACCACACAGAAATTCAGTTGCTGAGATGAATATAGCCAGGGTAGAAGACTTTTTATTGGTTGATATCAGCCAAGGAGAACAGGAAATTTCTTCTCAAATCTATCTCTCCATCTCTTGAATTCAGGGGTTATAGAGCAGCAGTCCCCAACGTTTTTGGCATCAGAGACCAGTTTCATGGAAGACAATTTTTCCAACACCATGGAGGGTGTTGGTCTCAGGATGATTCAAGTGCATTACATTTATTGTACACGTTATTTCTATTATTATTACAGTGTAATATATGAGAATCTAATGCTGTCACTAATCTGACATGAAGCAGAGCTCAGGCAGTAATGCAAGCTATGAGGCGTGGCTGTAAATACAGATGAAGATTCATTCCTCACCCACCACTCACCTCCTGCTATGCGGCCCAGTTCCTAACAGGCCATAGACCATACCAGTACCTGGAGGTTAGGGACCCCTGTTATAAAGTAGGGCAGGAATGTAGAAAACAGGAATTAGGAAGTGGTAAGGAAGAGGAGTTGGTTAACAGGAAGGGTCTGGCATCTCATTGTCTGGAGGAGGTGATCTGGTGAATTCAATTCCTTGATATTCTAGGCCTGAGGGGTGGTTTCCAGAGAAAGGAACTCAAATAAGATAAGTGTAAGTTTCAAGCATTAAGATCGGCAGGGTCCTGTTCTCACTCATAAGTGTACCCTGAACATTTATTATAATACTACATGAAAGGGATTGGCAGTAACAGGTCACTGCCAGGGGAGAGAGGGATGGGGGAGCAATTAATACTAATAAGGGGTACCTGATCCCAAACCAGGTGAAGTGAGGACCAATGGGGGGCCCAAATTTCACCTGTATGATGACCACTTATGTACCTAACCCTGAATTATACCCCACATCTTTAAAATTTAAAAAGTAGGGCAACCCTTTCGTGTTCCCTCCCACTCTTGGAGCTTTTCTGATCTCTCAACAAATCCTTTAAAAAAAAATTTTTTTTTAAGTAAAAATAAAATAAAGTCAGTAAAAGACAACAACAACAAAACCTGGAGGGTCAATTTCCATGTTTATTCAAAAGCTGTAACTACTAGTTCTGGGGGAGGTTGAGCTAGTTTCTGCAGGAATAATAAGTTCTTACAATGTGTATAGGTGGGGGGGGTACACTTAAACCCCAGACTTCTTGGCCACTGTGCAATGCATCCAGGTAGCCAAAAACTATTTGTATCCCCTAAAGCTATTGAGGAGCAGTGGCTCACGCCTATAATCCCAGCACTTTGGGAGGCTGAGGTGAGAGAATTGCCTGAGCACATGGGTTCGAGACCAGCCTGGGCAACTTGGAAAAACCTCAACTCTACAATAAATAAAAAAAAATTAGCCGGGTGTGATGGCACATGCCTGTAGTTCCAGCTACTTGGAAGGCTGAGACGAAAGGATCACCTGACCCCAGCAGGTCAAGGCTGTGGTGGCCCTGAGTGTTCCACTGACCTCCAGCCTGGGTGACAGAGTAGGACTACAACTCAAAAAAAGAAAAGAAAAGAAAAAAAAAGTCCCTACTGAAAAGTCCTGTTAAACAGACAGCCCGGGAGGAATAAAGGGTAACATTATGATTAGTGTTACTTTGGGGAAAAAAAATTTATCAAGGAAAATTTCAGGGCTTAGGTTTGTTGGGTAAGTTTATGGAGCTGTATGGAGGAAGATTAGGAAAACCAGGGGCTGGGGACGGTTCCACTCCTGTGTTAACATTAACATCACTCACCACTCCCACAGCTCAGCACATCCTGGGATCAGCTTCCAGGAGCGCCGGAGGGAGCCAAAGGCCTGTCTTCTATTACCAAAGCTGTTTCCTGACTCATACTTGAGCTTAGCCAAACGATCTCCCCCTCTCTGGACCCTTCTCTCTGCAGTTTCTTCATTTTTCCTACAAGCCCTATATAATAAGGATTATAAAAATCCTTTAATATTCTTTGGTAACAGAGAGAGAAGGCAAGGAGAGGTTCTGTTCTCCTAGAAATGACTCAGACCCTTTCAGTGCTCTTGAGGAGCTGCACTCCTTTCTCGCCTTCTCCATCAATCTGTCCTCTCTCCATTCTCTCAGCCTTAAAGCAGTCTTGTGTCCATCCACACAAACCCCAAAGCAACCCTGCGCTTTCTCTAGGCTTCTCTATGATCTGATCTACATACCTCAGGTGCTCTTGTTCCCCACTCTGCCAAACTTCGGCAGCCTCTGCAGCCATTGTGTAACCCGTCTTCCTCGACAGCCCCTCCCCATTATTTTCTCTCAACCAAGTCTCTTCACTGCCAAACTGCTGCTGTCTGACCCAGCGTAACCCAGCAAAGGGCGGGCTGAAAGAAGGAATGGGGAGGGATCGGCCTGTGGGCCAGTGAACCACAATTCCAGATTTTGAAGGAACGCATTGCCTCATTCTCACCTAGGTCTGGCTGATGGAGTGTGCAGGAAGGGGAGGAGACACAAGGGAAGTGGCCAAAAAAGATACATTTTTTCAATTTGAGAACAGAACCAGATGGAAGAAGCAAACTCTGGGTATCCATTCTTTTCCCAGAAATCAGACTTTTCATCCCTCTTTGCAACTGGGACAAATTGGAGCAGTAACTACATGAGACCACCTGTGTCAAATCTAAACACATCGTTTAACACATGATAGAATATTTTAGATTGCACATCTCGAAGCAAAAAATCCAGGTCTTTCAATCTTCCCTTCTCCAAAAACAAAACAGATAAAATCATAGATTCAAGAGTCCCAAGGTAAAGAAAAAAGATTAGAGTTGTGTTGAGGCCAGGCAACATAATGAGACCTTGTCTCTAAAAAAAAAAAAAAAAAAAAAATAGCCAGTTGTGGTACCTATAGTCCTAAGCTACTCAGGAGGCTGAGATGGGAAGATCACTTGAATCCAGGAGGCCAAGGTTGCAGTAAGCCGGGATCACGCCACTGCACTCCAGCCTGGGCAACAGAGAGAGACCCTGTCTCAAAAATAATAATAATAGGGTTGCATTGATAAGAGATTTGAGAAAACGGAAAGGAAGAACTGTCAATCCCTATAGTCACTGAGGTCTGTTTTTCAAACTACGGGTCTTGACCCATTAGTGAATGAGTTTTAGTGGCACATAACAGCAAATAATAGAAGAGAAGTAGTAAGGGTATTATTTCAACTATGTACATAAGACGTAAAATGTATTTCTTACTAGGGATCATAAAGTTTGACAGCTGCTCACTTATATATAGGTCATTTGTGGTCAAAGAGAACTGGGGTAATTGCCAAAACTTGAAAGCAACTAAGAAGTCCTTCAGGATGTGAATAAATAAACAAAGTGTGGCACATCTAGACAATGGAATGCTATTCAGTGCTAAAAAGAAATGAGCTATCAATCCATGAAAAGACTTGAAGGAAATGTAAATGCATATTACTAAGTCAAATAACCCATTCTGAAAAGGCTACATACTATATGACATTCTAAAAAAGGCAAAACTATGGACAGAGTAAAAAAGATCTGTGGTTGCCAGGTGTTGGGAGAAGGAAGGAACGAACGGACAGAGCACAGAGGATTCTTAGGGCAGTGAAACTACTCTGTATGATAATATAATATAATGGCGGATGCATGCCATTATGAATCTGTCCAAACTTGTAGAATACAAAACACCAAGAACCTTTGGTGATGTAAAATATGGATTCTGGGTGATAATAAAGTGTTAATGTAGTTTTATTGATTATAACAAATGTACCCTTCTGGTGTGGGTGTTGATAATGGGGGATGCTATGCATATGTGGGGGCAGGGGAGAGATGGGAAATCTCTATACCGTCTGCTCAATTTTGCTGTGAACCTAAAACTGCTCTAAAAAAAAAATAGGCTGAAGCAGAAAGATCGCCTGAGCCCAGCGGGTCGATACTGGGGTAGCCATGAACGGGCCACTGCACTCCAGCTTGGGCGATGGAATAAGACTCCAGCTCAAAAAAATTAATTAGTTATTTTTAAATGTCTAATTTTTAAAACAGTTTTAAGCCGGGCTTGGTGGCTCAGCCTGTAATCCTGCGCCTTTGAGAGGCTGAGGGGAGTGGATTGCCTGAGCCCGCGGGTTCGAGACCCGCCTGGACAGCGAGACCTCATCTCTACAATAAATCAAAAAATCAGCTGGGCCTGATAGCGCATGCCTGTAATTCCGGCTACTTGGAAGGCTGAGGCGGAAGGATCGCCTGAGCCCAGCAGGTCGAGGCTGCGGTGGCTGGGAGCGGCCACTGCACTCCAGTCTGGGCTGAGACTCCAACTCAAAAAAAAAAAAAAAAAGTTTTAAAGAACAAAGGAATGAAAAATATTCCTTTCCCCATTCGCCTTTAGAAAGGAAAAATAAAAAAAAAACCGACACCCAGCATCATTCTGCCTCCTGCTTTATTTTCCAGAGTTTGTTTTCATCCACACCTCATGTTCTCATCCATGCGGATTCCAAGGTCCATGGTCTCAGGTCTGTATCCAAGACAAAGCAAAGCCCCGCCCACATCACCCCCTAGTGGCCAATCCCCGCCCCAACCACAGCCTGATGGAGCCTCTGTCAACCAGGGAGGCTCTTATTCCCTGAAAGAAGAAATTCAAGGATGAAACGCACACACTTTCATATCCTCAGTCTCCTCCCACCCGTGTCAACATGCTAAAGGGGAGCCTCATCTAACTGAACTGGAGAGGGGGACCATCCACTTAGGGATGGGAAATGATTGGGGGATGACTGCTCTTTGAATACATGGTCTGAACATGATGAAAAGATTCTGGAATTTGTACACCCACCCTAAGGAACAACTTTGTACCACTATCCCAACCATCTTTCACTGGCATCTTCCTACCCCAAACCTTAGCAGAGTCACACAACTCAACGCCTCAGTCTCCATCTCATACTTCAGCCCCCTTAGTCTACCTGTTCACTGATTCCTGACTCCACCCAGTGATTCTCCATATTACGTCTTCTCAATCACCTCAAATACTCTATGCCTCAAAGGACTTCCCAGTATCAGCCATCACAGGGATAAAAGGAGACTGATTCCCTTCCGTCAGGTTTTTTTCCAAAGTCCTATCTCCCAAGCTCCTTCCCTCCTCACCCTCAACCCAAAATACACAGCAGGGAAATCCTATGTACCTGAGGGCACATGGTGAGGTGACCTCACGCCTCTTGCACACTTAGGATTCGCAATAGGATATTGTACACATCCTGTTCCATGTAGCCCTATAGATGACAAAAAATAATAAAAACAGATGAAGAACAGAAAATGGGGAGAAAGGAGTGAGGATAAGCTTCTGTGACACAGTGATGCTATTTGCATTGTACCCTCACTTATAGTATTTAACTTGTCCATGGCTGTTTCCCTATCTTCACAAGGAAGATAATAATGTCTACTTTTTGGGGTTGCTATGAGGGTTACAACTATGAATATGAAGCAAAGCACCCAGAACACAATAAGTGTTCCATTCTTTGTCGTTGTTATTCCTAACAAAGGAGCAAGACTCTTTTTCCTTGGTTAGGACTAAGTGGCCCTAGGAAGAAACTGAGACAGGGTATAGCAGACAGGAAAAGGCTTTATAATGGATCAGGGAATTTAAAAGAAGAGGCAGTCGGGCTCGGTGGCTCAGCCTGTAATCCCGCACCTTTGGGAGGCTGAGGTGAGTGGATTGCCTGAGCCCGCGGGTTCAGACCCGCCTGGGCAGGTGAGACCTCATCTCTACAATAAATCAAAAAATTAGCCGGGCGTGGTAGTGTGCGCCTGTAATTCCGGTTACTCGGAAGGCTGAGGCGGAAGGATCGCCGGAGCCCAGCAGGTCGAGGCTGCGGTGGCCGAGAGAGGCCACTGCCCTGCAGTCTGGGCGACAGAGTGAGACTCCAACTCAAAAAAAAAAAAAATTAAAAATTAAAAAAATAAATAAAAGAAGAGGCAAACACCTCTCTCCCCCTCACATTCATGCACGACCTCTCGATTTGCCCAGTGAGATCTGAAGACCAGGCACAGAGTCCAGCTCTCTGAGAAATGGCAAGTATGGCAAGAGAAGGGTCCCTGAAAGCAGTACCCCCTACCCAGCTCTATGTCTCAACTTCCCCCAAAACTCCACCATGCTCACCCGAGCAGCATTCAGCAGATGATTCCTGTAGGTGGAGATGATCTCTTCGTGGTTCTTCTGGGAATCCTGGGAGTGAGCATCAATGGGAGGTCATGTGTCCACCCTCCCCACACTCACTTGAGCATGAGGAACAATAAACTGAGGAGATGGTCAGCTTTACCAAGCCATGGGTTCCCTTGGCCCAGCCTCCACCACTGCCTGGCCAGGCCTCTGTAATTTCCAGAATGTCTCCTACATACATCACTTCCACTGTCCACCCTCTTCTCTAGCAGTGTCCATTTCCCTGAGGGCCAAAACATACCTGTAGCTGCAGGGCAAGGCGAGCATTGTCTCCTCGAACTGCTAGAACCTCCTCTGAAAGCTGCTCCAGCTTCTTCAACAACTCCTTGATCTGAGACCAACAGGAAAGAAAGGGAACCAAATGAGACCCAAGTCATTTCCCTCTCACAAACACCATTCAGGGTCAAAGTCAGTTTCCTTTTACTGACCACTTAATATATGCCAGGCACGTTTACACACCACTCTCACTGAAGACTCAAAACAGCTTTCTTCTGAGAAGAACAATACTTCTCTGAGGGAAGTATTATTATCCACATTTTGTAGATAAAGAGCCTGCGTTAAGTAATTTGTCAAAATTACACAGCTAATAAGTGATGAAATCATGATTTGAGCCACAATCTCTTTGACTCTATGGTCCGTGCCCCTAACTCAGTGCTGGATCCTAACCTGCTTCTGGCTGCTGACCACTGAGGGAATGGAGATGAGTCTTTGTGGCTTTTGAGGCAGAGGCACAGATGCAGTTGATTGTAACGAGCAGTAACAGGAACAGTGGTAGCAGGAATAAGAAGAGCTACCTTTTTTTGTTTGTTTGTTAGAGTCTCACTCTGTGCCTAGGCTGGAGTGCACTGGCATGCTCACAGCCAACACAGCCTCGACCTGCTGGGCTCAGGCGATACTTCTGCCTCAGCCTTCCAAGTAGCTGGAACCACAGGTGATGCCACCACACCTGGCTAATTTTTTGATTTGTTGTCGAGACGAGGTCTCACCAAGTTGCCCAGGCTGGTCTCAAACCCCTGGGCTCAGGCAATCATCTAGCTTTTGCCTCCCAAAGTGCTGGGATTACAGGTGTGAGCTACCATGCCTGGTCTAAGAACTACCTTTTATTGAGCACTTATAATGGGCCAAAAATTGTTGAGTATTTTACTTTATTTTTTGTTGGAGTCTCACTCTGTCACCCAGGCTGGAGTGAAGTGGTACATTCGCGGCCACAGCAGCCTGGACTTGCCGGGTTTAGGAAATCCTTTTGCCTCAGCCTTCCAAGTAGCTAGAACCACAGGCATGTGCCACCACACCTGGCTAATTTTTTGATCTACTGTGGAGACAAGGTCTCACCAAGTTGCCCAGGCGGGTCTCAAACCTGCAGGCTCAGCCTCCCAAGGTGCGAGATTACAGGCTGAGCCACCGAGCCCAGCTGGGAATTGTTGAGTATTTTAAAGAAATATAATATCTTATTTAATGTAAGCTTCACAACCACCCTATTATTATCTTTACCATATAAATAAGAAAACTGAGACTTAGAGATATTGAATACCTTGCCTAAGATCAGACAAGTAAATTTTGAAACTGAAATTCAAATCCAGACAGCCTCAGTCCAGAGACCACATTTTTCTTCTTCTTCTTTCTTAAATTTTTATTTCTTTTTTTTTTTTTTATTGTTTTACATACAGGGTCTCACTCTGCAGTTTAGGCATAATCATAGCTCACTGCAGCCTCAAACTCCAACTTCTGAACTCAAGTGATCCTCCTGCCTCAGTTTCCCAAATAGCTGGTACCACAGGCACCTGCCCCCATACCCAGCAAACTTATTCTGTGTAAATACAAGGTCTTGCTATATTACCCATGCTGGTCTCTAACTCCTGGCCTCAAGCAATTCTCCCACCTCCCACCTCAGCCTCCCAAAGCACCGAGATTAGAGGTGTGAGCTACTGCACCCATCCCAGAGACACATTCTTCTTGTTTGTTTGTTTTTTGAGTTGGAGTCTCACTCTGTCGCCCAGACTGGAGTGCAGTGGCATGCTCCCGGCCACCGCAGCCTCGACCTGCTGGGCTCCGGCGATCCTTCCGCCTCAGCCTTCCAAGTAGCCAGAACTACAGGTGCGCGCTACCACACCTGGCTAGTTTTTGATTTATTGTAGAGACGAGATCTCGCCAAGTTGCCCAGGCAGGTCTCGAACCTGAGGCCTCAGGCAATCCACTCAACTCGGCCTCCCAAAGTGCTGGCATTACAGGAGACCACGTTCTGAATCACTACACTCATTTTTGCCCATTTGTTTACTTTCATTTTCTCCTTTAATACAACAAAAGTCTTTGTTTCTTTAATTAACCCCACCCCACACTGATTCCTACTCTGAATAATATTCCCTCTATTGTTATGTACTCTATACTATATAAAACATACACTCTTTATATTTTTTAATCATTGTAAATTTGAACATGTATCCATGTTTTAGTAAGAAGCCTGAATTTGATGGGGCGTGGTGGTTCATGCCTATAATCCCAGCACCACTTTGGGAGGCAACCTGGAGACCTCGACTCTACAATAAATCGAAAAATTAGTTGGGCATGGTGGCGCACGTCTGTGGTTCCAGCTACTTGGAAGACTGACGCAGAAGAAGTGCCTAAGCCCAGCAGGTCCAGGCTGTGGTGACCATGAGCATGCCACTGTACTCCAGCCTGGGTGACAGAGTGAGACTCTGACTCAAAAACAAAACAAAACAAAAGTCTGAATTCAATCACTCCGCAGGTAGTTCTAGAATCACCAAATTTATTTGTAAATTGATTATTTAGCGTTCAGGCTGGGTGTGGTGGCTCATCCCTGTAATCCCAGCACTTTCAGAGGCTGAGGTGTGAGGATCACTTGAGCCCAAGAGTTCTAGACCAGCCTAGGCAACATAGCTAGACCTCTTCTCTACAAAAAAACCAAAACATTAGCTGGGCATGGTTGCGTCCATCTGTAGTCCCAGCTATTTGAGAGGTTGAGACAGGAGCACCTGAACCCAGGAGGTCAAGTAGTCAGTGAGCCATCCATGATCATGCCACTGCACTCCAGCCTGGGCGACAAAGTGTGATCTCAACTAAAAAAACCCCCAAACAAACAAAAACAGAATTCATAAACATGTAGACTCATATTCACTTTTAGAGCAAGCATTGGGAAACTCTGGTATCTAACAGTGGTTTTCAAGCTCTTTTCCTTTGCATTGGTGCCTTCTTTGCCTAAGCGGGAGGGGAGAAGAGCAGGTACCATTGGGTCTACTTTTCTTAAGCCATCAGTTCCTGCATCACCTCCTCAGAACCTCAGCAACATCGCCGCAATCCATCATACTAGTAGGCCTTTTCCCTACTATTAAATCGGCTAATATACGATTTAAGTCAACATGCTAATCAACCACGGTGCTCCACCGGTGGTAACCCTAAGCACTTCACTCCTGAACCTGAAGGCCAAATGTTAGTTCGAAATCTCCTACTTTCTTCTAGTTATATCCTACCTCGCCTCCAGTCTCAACCGGAAACTCCTCAGACCCAGGAGAACAAAGGGTGGTCCCTGCAGATCCAACCAAAGGTTGCTGAATCCGATCAGTAAACCCGCAGACGCACAGAAACCTTCCCCGATGCTCCCCACGGCTACCTCAGCTGCTCACCTTGGCCTCCTTGTCCCGGCAGGCCCCAACGATACGCTCCATCTTCTCTTTGAGCAGCTCCGCTGTTTTCTCAAACTGCTCGGAGCGCCCGCGCATCTCGCCGGTCTGGCGCTCCTGCTCCGCGGCCTGGGCCGCCAGGTCCCCGCTCCTGCGTCGCTCCTCGGCCACCGCCTCCCGCAGCTGGCCCATCTCCCAGCAGGCCGTGTTGTACTTTTCCAGCAGAGCCTTTAGCTCCTGCCCCCAGGCCTGGGCCTGGGCCACTAGCGAGCCCCGGGTTTTCTCGTGCTGCCGCAAGCTGGCGGCCTCTCGGGCCCTCAGCTCAGCCACCTCCTCCGTGGCTTGGTAGAGCAGCTGCTTCAGCTTCCCGATCTCCTGGCTCTTCCCGCTCATCGTGGCCTGAACCGCCCGCAGCTCTTCCTCCAGCTTCCCTAGGTCTTGCTCCAGAGCGGCCACTTGTGGGGATGCTGGGGCCTCTGAGGAGGCGCCTGGCTCCCCACAGGAGGCCAGGGACCCCCGCAGGTGCTGGTTTTCCTCCTCCAGCCGACCCAGCTCCTGCTGGGCCTCCCGGTGCCGGTGCACCAGGGTACTGATGCAGGCTTGCAGCTCCTCCAGGGGCTCGGCCGCTTGGCTCCGTGCACGCCCCTTGCCTACTAGGTCGGGTGGCAGGCAGTCCCATAGCCCTCGGAGGCCACTGCTCTGACAGGCCAGGCGTTTCCGCAGCTTCTCTGTGGCCTCCTTCTCCGTGGCCAGTTCCTTTGTCAGTAGCCCCACACTCTGCCTCAACTGCTGGAGCTGGCCCTGCGCCTCTGGCTTGGGCACGAACTCCCGCTGTAGTCGCTGGCTCAGGGACTGCAGCTCCCTCTGCAACCTCTGCCGCTCACGCCCCAGCTCCCCCAACTCCTCCAGCAAGTTACTGTTGCTCAGTCTGAGCGCTGACACCTCCCTCTCCAGCTGTCCCTTCGCCAGGCCTCCTCCTGGAGACTGTTCTCCTCCAGGGGCCCCCAGAGGCTCTCCCCGAGACCCAGAAGCCCTTTTCTCCTTCTCTTCATCCTGTTGGATGATCCCTGAGACTGCCTTTGGGGCTCCCTCTCTGGACTCCTGGGCGAGAGCCTCCGGTTTCACCTGTAGTCCTGCTTTTGCCTGATCCAGCCTCACTAGCACCCGCTCTAACCGGGCCTCCATCTTCTCCCAGGCAGCTGCTGCAGCCTCAGCCCGGTGAGTCCCCAGGGCTCCCTCCAGGATGGATCGTGACAAAGCCCCCCGGGCAGCATCTTTTTCTCGCCACACTGCAGCCAGCTCCTCCCTTAGTTGTAGCAGGAGCTGGTTCATGGCTGTTGCTGGGCCCACTCGTTCAACCGCGGTGCCTCCTGGTTCAATCCCCAGAACCTGGGGCCTTTCCTTCTGGCTAGCAGGAGGCTGGTCAGTATGCTCAGAGCCATGGGTCTGTCCCCCACGTGTAGTCTGTTGCTGTCCTGTGGTTTTTCCTAAGGTCTCAGATCGTGGGCTCTGGGGTGGCTGCTGTTCTGGATGGGCCCTTCCATGGACCTCATGTTGAATCTCTCCTGGGGCTGAATCCTTGGCCTTCTTGGGAGCTAATGTTGGGTTTACCATGGCTGCTGCCTGCTGCTGCTTCTTTAGCTCTTGTATCCGCTCAGCCAGCAGGTCCAGGGGACAACCCTGCTCCATGCCATCCCCTCCAGGTCGAAGACTAGACCCTCCTGGAGTTCCAGGCTCTTGAGACAGGAGAAGCCCTAGCTCCTGGACCTGCTCTCGAATCTGGTTCTCCAAGCCCAGGTAGGCTGCGGCTTGAGTCTTACACTCTTCTGTCTTTCGCACCAGCTCCTGCTCCAACTGAGCCACTTTCCCCTGCTCTTCTTCATACTTCCACCTCCACTCATCTGAGCATGGGTCTTCATCCTCCTCTTCCTCATGCTCCTCCTCAGGCTCTGCTCTCCATGGGCTCTTGGATGGAGAACCCGCCTGGGGCTCAGATGGAGAGGCCTGCTTCAAAAACAGAATAGTGATGTGAGGCTATGCAACTAATCTAGCCCAGGGAGGGCCTTTCTACTCTCAGAATGTCTTGACATCCCAAGGACCACTAGGAGCAGTCCCAGTAGGATAGCCTGAGATAGGTCAGAAACAAAAGGAGGAGGCACTTCGGGTCTTACCTGGGATGCAAGATCTGGGTGTTGGACTAGCCTTTGACCTATAAGGAAAGACATGAGGAAAATGAGAGAGAAGACAGGTCCCTGGTTCTTCCATTCCACACTCTAACCCTTGCCACTTGTCTTCCTGGTGCCAAGAGCCAATCTTGTCCATTGGGTCTCTAACTATCCAGCAACTTTGGTTTCCTATTCAAGAAATGAGCTGTTCATTCATTTTGTTTGCTTGTTTATTTATTGGTCACTATGTCAGGCACTGTTATAAGCACAGGAACCTCAAATGGTGAGCAAAATAGAAACTGCCTCTCATCAGAAGGATTTACAGTCTAGTAGGGAAGAGGGAGATTGACCAACAAATCATACAAATAGATGTACAATTACAATTCATAAATAGAAGAAATAGCAATAACTAGAGTTGCCCTCCATGAGAGACAAGGCTGCATTAAGGAATTTTGTGACCATGCTTTTGAGAATCTGGGGTCACCTCCTAGTAGTAGCAATAAGTGAGTAAACTCTCGACTAAGGTGACAATTTTTTTTTTCCTGAGTCGGAGTCTCACTCTGTCACCCAGGCTGGAGCACAGTAGCATAATCATGGCTATCACAGCCTCGACCGGCTGGGCTCAGGCAATCCTTCCGCCTCAGTCTTTCAAGTAGCTGGGACTACAAGTACATGCCACCATGCCTGGATAATTTTGTTATTTTGTAGAAACAAAGGTCTTGCCATGTTGCCAAGGCAGATCTGGAACTCCTGGCCTCAGGCAATCCTCACTAAGGCAACAATTATTTGTTAAATGGATTACTTCCATGGGAGCAAATGGGTGTCTAAGAAGCTTCTTTGATTCTACGGCTATCAGGGAGAATCTTGAAGTTCCTCTACCTCCCCGCCGCCGCCGGTTCAGGGCCAGCTGCAGCAGCCTCCACAGGGCCTCGTCTTGCGTGTGCCGAGCATAATGCAGAGCATCGTTCCCCGCACTGTCCACAGCCCCCACATCTGCTCCATGACTCAGGAGCAGTTCAGCCACCTCAGCACTGCCTTTCTCACAGGCCAGGATCAAAGCCGATCTGTGGGTTGAGACAAATCTGAGCACAGGCTTTCCCCTTGGAAACTGGGAGTCCTGATTCCAGAAATTCCACTCTCAGGGTAAGCTCTCGCTCAGTCAGGAGAACAACAGACCAACGTTAGACCAGACCAGACTTTTCAAATGCCATTCTTCAAGCTGCAGCATCAGAAAGCAAGGGGTCCATCGGAAGGGCTTCATTTGTATGTGTTTTATATAGCGAAGTCCTACCTATATTTTTTATTAGAAAAAAGATCCGCCTAGCTTACAAAATAGTTTGAAAATCAGCAAATTAGGCCAGTGGGTCCAGAGGTTCAATTCCACTTCTGGATTCATCTATGCTAGGAAGGTGGTGGTGGTGGCAGGCAGAGCTCTCCTGAACTACCACCAGAAAGGAAGGGGGTTCCTAATAACACAGAGACCAATCTGCCTTCCTTCCCAGCACACACACATACTTTGCCCATTGGGTCTTTTCTAAAATGGTCAGGGTCTGGAAATGGGGGTGAGAAGTCCAGGAGGGCTCACTTGTCATTCTTGTCTGTAACATTAACTCGGGCTCCTCTCTGCAGCAGCTGTGAGCAGATAGCAGTGTGACCACCCAGCGCAGCGATCATCAGGGGTGTACGTCCATCCTGCACAGATTGTAGGAAGGGGTACATGAGTCATCAGGGAGAGCCAGGGGCTTGACACAGTCCTACTGATTTCTCTTTCCCCACACCACTTTAGAAAAAAGCCCAGGTCCTGGGGCTAAATACTCCCTTTTGGAGGGTTACAAGCTCTCCAGAAGATGAGGCTTAACCTCTTTGTGAGGAATAGGAGGAGAAGCAGGAGGAGAAGGAAGAGGAGGGTGGTGCTGCACAACCCCAGGTCATGGAATTTGGCCAGTTGAGCTCAGAGAGAGCAGCGGTCTGCCTGTGTAGGGCACTACCCATCTGCCACTCACATTATCCAACACATCCAGGAAGGCTTCATGGTCACATAGCAGGAGCACACTTGAGGCACAGCCAGAGGAGGCTGGGGAGAGTTGAGAAATGCTTGGGTTAAGGGGAAGCATGAAGGGCCTGTCCTCAGACCATGACCCAACATCCCCTCCAGCCCTTTCAGCCTGCTGATCCTGGCTGTCCTTCCCTCCTCTCTCCTCCCCTTTTCCACCCTAAGGTCCCTGCAGCCCTGTTCCCACCAGTCCCTTGGCACACACCTGCCCAGTGCAATGGACTACGGTTTTCTGCATCCACAGCATCTTCATTAGCACCATGCTGCAAATGGCCACAAAGCATGCATGGAGCTTGGCATTAACATCCTCAACCCATACCCCCTGTTGGGTCACCAATTTCTGTGGTAATATGGGGAGGGCCAGGAGGACCATAGGGGAGACTATCTACTAGGCAAGCTCAGCTCATTCGTTGCTGACAAAATAGGCAGCCTTGACTTTCAACCCTGGTTTCTGAACCTAGGGCCTAAAAAAACCCAGACAATTATGTAAATAAACATGATGGGGAGAAAGGATATCTCTGAGTCCATGGCTGATACTTCAGAGTCACAACTGTGAAACTTGGAAAGGATCCGGGGGGAAAAAAGCAGAACATCTATTTGCCCAGCAGCCAGTTTATATACTTTTGAGGACCCATTTATACATTGTCCATGTGTCATTTTAGATGTATATTTCTCTTTATGCTATTAGACTATAAACTCCTCAAAAGCAGACAGTAGGGCTTTGGTTTAACTTGAATACCTCTGCCCTCCTTCCACCTACTTCACATCATAGCTAGTCTTTGCAGTGGCTCTGCCAGTGGCAAAGCTCATTGGTCCTGGGCAACTCTGCTTTGTGACCTGCCCTCAACGGCAGTATTGAGCACAGTACCTGCACATAGTAGGTGCTCAAGAAATATTTGTGAATAAATGACTACCACCCTCTTATTGAGAATGAGATTGACCAACTGTTGCTTGTAACTACAAGTCCAAGTCAGGAGATTCTGGTTCATTCCTCCCTTCACAGGAGTAGTATTGAGGATTGGTCTTACCTGAAGCAGGACTTTGACACACTGTGGCTGGCAGGAAATAGTAGCTAAGTGCAAGGCAGTGCTTCCTGGAAACAGAAAGAGGGAGAGAGGAAGGGTGGGTGGCCCCATGCACTCTGATGACTCACAGGGAGGGAAGGCAAGAGACGCACAGATAATCAGAAGATTAGAGAGGGAAGTTTTCAGCCAGAAATTCCTGTTCCCCAAGTGCCTGGTACCTGTGATGAAGGTGGAAGTGGGGGTGAGGTGTGCCCAGCTTACAGGGAAGGATGCTGGCCAGGACTTGCTGAAGAGAGAAGCAAGGGGCCACAGGTAGAACCTCCAGCAGGGCCCAGCACAGGTCCCACTGCTGCTGTAAAGGGACAAGCAAGCAGCATGGCCCAGTGCTGGGTCTCACTCACCATCCTCATTCTTGCTGTTGATGTCAGCCCCATTTGCAAGCAGTACAGTCAGACACTCTGTCAGGCCTTTGGAGGCTGCCAGATGAAACCTGCCAGAATCAAGGCCAGGGGACAGAAGGATGAAGAGATCAGGGAGTAAGGAGCAAGAGAATCTTAATAAGCACGGTTTGCTCTACTCCCTAACCCAGAGACCACCCAAAAGGAGAAAGGAAAGCTCCCCCAGCATAACTTCCTGAGAAAGAGAGGGCCATATGACTTACAGTCATAAAGTCAGAGGAAGCTGGAGACAAAGATAGAAATAAGAGCTGTGGGTCTCAGGGGATCTCAGACTACTGCATTGCATGGGTGTCCAGTGAACCCATCGTTACCTGCCTGTGTGAGCACAGAACCAGTAGTGGAACTGGAACCATCACCAGCCAGAGCCAAGCAGAAGGCTGGACGTTTGAAGGCTGATTTGAGCAGAGGCATGGGATAATATTTCCCCTTGTCCTTATCACTCCTTCTAGCCATGCGACTCTCATGGCTACCACTTCATTTCTAATTTCCCAAGCATGCACACCCTCCTACTTGTGCAAAGAATAAACACACTACTTAGCTTATGCATTTGTTTCTGCTTGTTTAATGGTCTTTATGAGCTTTTCTAGTCATGTTGTCAATCTGACTAGATAATATCTTCTTCCCTCACTTTGGGTAGCACTTGGTACAATAGTAAAATTTTGTTGATATGCTTGCTAATCAAGACAATGAAAAAAGCTCTGAAGTTATAGGCATCTCCTGGTCCTATGTCATATTGGAGTTTGGGAGTTTCAGAGGGAACCACATACCAGAGGTGGGGTCAGGAGGACTTACGGGGACTGGCCATTCGAGGCTAGCTTGGTGGGTCGGGCAGACTTCCTGGAGGCCAAGGCAGCCACGCGTCCCACGTCCCCCCGCTGCACTGCCTCCAGCAGCTTCTGGTCACGACGGTTCCATCTCTCCACCTGATCAAAGTCACAAATTATGTGAGTATAGGGGGTGGTGTGGAGAAAGATGGCCAAGCACAGTGGCTCATACTATAATCTTGGCCTGCTTCGGGAGGCCAAGGTGGGAAGATTGCTTGAGCCCAGGAGTTCGCGATGACCAGCCTGGACAACATAAGCGAGACCTCATCTCTACAAAAAAATAAAAAATTCGCTGGTCATGGTGGCACATGCCTGTAGTCCCAGCTACTAGGGAGGCTGAGGCAAAAGGATCAACTGAGCCCAGGAATTCGAGTCTGTGGTGAGCTGTGATCATGTCACTGCACCTCCACCTAGGTGACAGAATGAGACCCCAACTCAAAAAAAAAATCATTTATGGGTGCTGAATATATAGTATTTCAAATGTCTTTCTATCCTCATTTTGTTTAGTGCTGTTGTGAGGTGCCCAACCTCAGAGCAATCCTACACATGACTCCTTTCCCTTTTACTCTCGAAGTCTTGCTGTAGCCAACCTGACCATTCCCAACTGGCCTCACATTGCCTCTCATCCTCACCCCCTCCCCTGGTACTCTGCTTTTTGTCCCAGTTATTTAGGAAGCAAATCAAGGCACCCAGCTTCAGGTCATGGTTAGCAGTCCAAATGCCTAACCATACCATCTCTTCCCATTGGCTTTAAGCTTCAAGATTAGGAGGGGAAGTTAGAGTTTCTGTATCATATCTATGCCTTTTGGCTCGTGTCTCTTCCCCTTCCATGGCAACAGCAACCAAAAGGCAGAGATAGGTCTCTAGCTGTGCTTGAGAAGATGGCAAGAGGCAGCTCCCCTTCTCCCTGCTCCCTCCCTCCCAGTTTCCCTGGCAGGGAGCAGCTGTCCCAAACAACACCCACACCTGGGCATGCATTGTTCTATCATTCCAGCTTGAGTTTTGCGGGTGGTAGGGTAATTACAATAATTGAAGCATTGCAGGGCGTGAAAGAGAGAACTATGTAAATACACCCAGAGCTGAAAGCACAGAAAAGCCTGGTTTGGTTCAGAGAAAGGAAAGAAAAGAAGGAAGATATAGATGCAAAGATCTGTGGTATGGTGAGTATTTTGTCAGCTGGCCTGAGTTTGGGACCTGGTTCAGCTACATTCTCAGCTATGAGTGCTGAATATATAGTATTTCAAATGTCTTTCTATCCTCATTTACTTAGAGTAAACCATTAAACACCTTTTAACCTGTTTCCTCATCTATAAAATGTAGGTAATAATAACTACCTCATCATGTTGTATTAAGCAAGCTAACATATATAAAATATCTTTATAAACTGTAAAGAGCCATACAAATGTATAGCATTCTTATAACAAAACAGGAAGTAGTGGGGGACTGGTGGTGGCACATCGCATTTTATGAGGTATAATCTCAACAAGAAAGAGGCTACAGGAGGGAGCGAAAAGAAATATGGTCTGTGGAAACCCAATAACTCATTTTCAAATACTGTTTACATAGCCAGGGCAAATTATTAATCAACAACAGGGAAGGTTTAAATGCCCAAACCATACATTATCTAGGGTAGATGGATCCTGAGGTCATACTGCTGGACAGAAGTCATAACTCCTCACAGCCCTTTCAAGTGCTATTTCAATTTCAATGTCCCTGGAAAGTAGTTAGGGCTAATATTATTCTCTCTTTGACAGAAGAAGAAACAGAAGCACACTGAGGTTAGATAACTGTCCAAGATCACACAAAAGACTGGCAAAATTGGAAGTAAAACCTAGGCCACCAGATGCTCAATCCTAGTTCTCACCACCAGACCACACTACTATAAGCTATAGCAAAAGATTTATTTATTTCCAGGTAACGTTCTCAAACTGCCTCCAGGGCAAAGCCACCCACCTGCAGAGAAGAATCTCCAAACAGGTTAATTCTCAAATGACAAAATAAGCTAAATGACTTCTCTGCACACTGACAGACTCTGACATGTAAGAATGCATCTTCCAGTGCCCGTAGGGGACCAGATCATCCCCAGGAAAAACAGAGAGCTGGAACTATGCCTTCATCACATGGTGTTGACCTCAGCTTTTTTTTTTTTTAGTTGGCCTCAACTTTTTTTTTTTTAGTTGGGAGTCTCATTCTGTTGCTCAGGCTGAAGTATAATGTGATGGCACAGTTACAGCTCACTGCAGCCTCGACCTCTAGGGCTCAAGAAGTTCTCCCATCTCAGTCTCTTGAGTAGCTGCGACTATAGGCAAGTGCCACTACATCTGGCTAATGTTTTTATTTTGTAGAGATGAGGTCTCACTATGTTCTCCAGGCTGTTCTCGAACTCCTGGGCTCAAGCAGTTCTCCCACCTTGACTTCCCAAAGTGCTGCAATTACAGGCATGAGCCAGTGTGTTCTGCCTGTTTAAAATCTTGATTCTTTTTTTTTTTTTTGAGTTGGAGTCTCACCGTGTCGCCCAGGCTGGAGTGTGCAGTGGCACGCTCACGGCCACCACAGCCTGGACCTGCTGGGCTCAGGCGATCCTTCTGCCTCAGCCTTCCAAGTAGCTGGAACCACAGGCACGAGCCACCATGCCTAGCTAATTTATGATTTATTGTAGAGACGAGGTCTCACCAAGTTGCACAGGCTGGTCTCGAACCTGTGGGCTCATGCAATCCTCTCGCCTCAGCCTCCCAAAGTGCTGGGATTACAGGCTTGAACCACCACGCCCAACCCAAAATCTTGGTTCTAATACGTTGTCTCCATGAGTTTAGGCAAGCAATATCTCTAAACCTCAGCTTCCAAACAATGTAACAACATAAAATCACCTTGCACTGCATCTATCACATAGTAGGTGCACAATAAATGTTAGTTCCAATCTCCATCCTTCTTGGCCTTGCTAGGCACATTTTGGATGTCCCTGGGCTTGGAACTGTCTAGTCAGGGAAGTGGGAGAAAGAAATTTTGCTCATATCAGCCAATGAATAACAGTCAGGCTGTATACATGGCAAAGGGGTTTCTTAGTAACATGGATACTTTTCTTTCCAGCAAGGTGATTCCATGCAATTTATTTCCTATAATCTCATTATACTAAGAAGCGTTTGGTGTGGTCAAACCTCTGCAGAGCAGGAGTAAAGAAAGATGAATGTTTTCAAATTCCAAGATCCAGTCCATAGCTTACCCCAGCACCTTGTGAAGAAGGCACTGGATTACCATCATAGCCTCAAGGGAGCAATCACCAAATTAACCAGCAGACTCTGGAACAAGTATAAGCTCTGTATTTCTATAGCTGAGATTAGGGGACCTTTGTAGAAATAATTGTACCCTCTCCTTATCTCCCGCTGTACATATAAGCAACCTATAACATGGAAGCACATCAGCAGGGAGAAAGAGAAAGAGTGGCTGTTGCTGTAGAACAGGAAAATGGAAACAAAAAGGCTACCCTGGAGGAACCAGGGCCTGACTCGCAATGCTTTAAATACAATAGACATTCATCAAAGCTGACCCAGTGCCGATAATTTAAAACTCTCTTCTGGTTTACTTCCTACCTAGACAGAGCAAGCATGTAGAGAGAGGGACCAAACAAAACAAAACAAAACAAAAAACCTCAAAATTTATTCATAAAAAATGTGTATATATTCTTACATGTTTAAATTCCAGTCACCTTCAAAGTACTCTCCATTTGCTGCAAGATACCCATAGAAATGGTTTTTTCACTGCTCTAAACACTTTTTCAACTTGTCAATTTTTATGTCTTTTAGTACTTCTGCCAGGGTTTTGTTTGTTTGTTTCCCTTCTTCCACATCTGCAAAACATTTGCCTTTGAGGATTTTTTTCATCAGGGAAATAAAAAAAAAGTCATTTGGGGCAAGATCCAGTGAATAGGGAGAGTGGGGCACAAGGGTCATGTTGTTTTTGGTCAAAAACTGCTGAACTCTCAGCATGGCATGGCCAAGTGAACTTGTAAATCATCCATCATGAAATGGGCAAACATGTTGAAAGAATCTACAAAAAAAAAATTCACTGAAGCCAAATGCAGCCTCTCACAACAATGCTAGCTGGTTCACTGATGTTAATGGGTTCCTAGAACACTTACCTAGCAGGTGAAGCCTGTACCGCAAGGGTCTGCTCTCAAAAAAGGTACTTTTGGGGTTTTGGGGGGTCCCTTCTCATATGTAAGACACCCTCAAAGACATCCTCTTCTTGACTAAAGTAAAATGAGACTTTAGAAGCTGGAGTTGTTTGTTTGTTGATTTTCCTATATACTGGATAACTTAGATTAGCTTTAAAATGATCACTGATCTTTCAGTTCTTAACTCAGACTGAGAGCACAGGGCTCTGGCCCTGGGTCAAGGCATGTCAGTGGGGAAGGGGAGGGGCAAACTTCCAGTATGACAGGGAAACCAGGCTTTTGGAGTGGCCAGAAAGGCTGTCATACTATTTCTCTGACAAACAGGTCCAGAGTGGTTAGCCACCCAAGGGAGTGAACAAGTTTATCATGAGAAATATGAGGAAATTTCACGAGGAAACAATTTGCAGCTGAAACTGGCCTACTTTCAAGTTTTCTGTTACCCCAGTCTGTCTGAGGAAACAGTTTTCTTTCCAGTTAGATAATTCCAAATCCATCCAACTTACTTCCTATAATCTAATTATACTAAATGTTTAGAGTGGATGAACATACTCCATGGTCAAACCTCTGCACAGCTGGCATCAAGAAGGACAGAGGGATTGTTCCAATTCCAAGAGCCAGCCCAGTGCTCAGTCCAGCACCTCTGAAAGGAGGCCCTGCCCAAGAATTGGCGAGTAAAGAGGAGAGGAATCGTTTCCCCATTCCTAAGGAGTAGGTAGACGCCACAAACCTGAAAGGGAAGGGCAATGTTGAGGACCTTCAGTAATTAGGGAAGAGCCCTTATGAATAAAAAAAACTGCTATGAGTTAAGGCTGAGTCGGGGTGGCCTCAGTTTCTGGTACCTATAATAGTAAACGCCTTTTGACTGGCTGATCTGTGTGTGGAAACTAAATGGAGAAGCAAATGTAAGTGGGACAAGGACAGGCCTCAACAGAGTTCCTACTCTTGCCTCATAGCTTGCTGACAAGCTTCTATGGCCTGCCCATGCAGAGTGAGATAACTGAGCATTTCTCACATTTGCTTATGAATGATACCACTAAGTCAAGTTCGCTAAGCAGTGTCACTGCAAGAAGCTGGCTAAATCACTTCTTTTTTTTTGAGTTGGAGTCTCACTCTGTTGCCCACACTGGATAATTCACTTCTAAATTAGCCATAATCTCAACCTCCAAAGAAAATTACACTCCTAGATAGGGGGGCTCTGTAGAAAAGAACTTTAGAAAAGGAAAGGTAATATCCCACCACCCCCCCATAGTCTTCATGTGCTTTATTCTGGGAGAACATGGGGAGTAGAGTGACTTCTGCTGGGAACCCTCAGAGTGAGTCTGCTCTATCCTCTTCCCTCACCATCACTTTTCTCCAACTTATTCAAGAAAACAGACATTATCAGCCCTAAAACAGTAAGTGAGAGTTCAGGGTAAAGGAAAAGTTTGGAGAGAAGCAGAACCAGTCTGGCCCAGAACCAGTCTGATGACCAGACACTGCAGTGAAGTGGCTGGAGGAGATTCTGCAGGCAACTCACCCAGGCCCTTGGGGAGCAGCCACACAACTGTGCATCCTCTGGCAGTGCCTGTTGGGCTGGCTAGACTGCAAGATGAACCCATAGTGAGCAGGCAAAAGGAGGTCCAGGCAAAACGGGGAAGAGTGGGATTGGCAACCACTGGGCAGAGCAGGAAAGAGGTTGAAGTAGAGAATAGAAGGCTGCTGCTGTGGGAGTACCAATGAAAAAGAGGTTTGGAGTGAGGTCTGAGGGCCGGCAGTGCTGGTGAGAGATTGGAGTGGCAGTGGCATGGGGCAGGGTGGAGGGTGAAGGAGGGTTAGCAGGAGGCGCAGAGCTAGGACCATTTGTTAGGCTGACCGGAAACAGCAAAGATAGGGCCATATGGGAGGACAAGGTTGAAGGGACAGAGCAGGGCCGGGAAACAGGGCTGTGGGGCAGGACTTTGGGAGGCAGAATGGAGCTTGGGGACGGGCAATGGCTGGGGCAGACGCTTGGGGGTGGGTTGTTACTGGAAGTAGAGGACAGGGCCTTGGGAAGAGGTCAGGGCTGTAGAAAACATACCAGAAGTTTGAGATGAAGATGCTAGGACGACAAGAAAGGAGCCAAGGGAAAGGACCTTGGAGAGGGCAGAGGTCAAGAAGGCAAGTCAGAAGCTGAGGGACGGTGTCTTGAGGAAGGCAGGGCTGGCCGGCTTCACTGCGGGAGCAGAAGCACTAGAACGACCGATAAAACGAAAAGGCAATGGGGCATGGAGATGGGACTTAAGACTTCTGTCACCACAGAGCATGGGCACCAGCCCCAGCCCAAGTCCCATCCTCCCGCACATTTTGGCACCTACCGCCACCTGGGAGCTGGAGCAGGAGAAGATGCGCTTCATGGCCGGGGCCCGGGCCACGGGGGGGACGGGGACGCGCAGAGAGCCGGGCCACAGGTGCCCAAACCCACCGGACTCGGCTGCGGCTGTGCCACAGACAACTGTCAAAAAGCAGAGCGGGCCCCGCCCCAAGATCCGCCTCTGAACCCGCTCCGCTCAATCAGAAAAGAGAACCTGAGGGCTGGGCTTAAAGCTCCGCCCCTGCAGAGGCCAAAAGCCCGCAGTCTTCGGCGGCGACTGGGGCTTGGTCTCAAACCGCGCCCTCCCAACCTGAACCCGCCTCAGGATCAGACCTGCTCAATCGGGAAAGGAAGGTTTCGGGCTGCGGCCGAGGCTCCTCTCCGGGCCCGCCCCCGCCCCAACCCCTCTCCCGGTCCCCCCCTCCGATCGCGGCCGGGGGAGGCCGGCGGGTCCCCGCTCCTCCCGGGGGGCTTTGGTCTGACCAACTGTCGCATTTAGCCGCTGGTGACATGACTTCTACTTCTTCCCCCGTCCCCCACCCCGCCCCTATTCCCTGACCCATAACCCAAGGGCAAAAGAGCATCTGCGGAGAGAGGTAGTTTGGAAACGGGAGAAGATGGTCGTGCTAAGCCGAGGACCGAGCGCGGATGATGCATGGCCCGCCACAACCTAGGGGACAAAACCTAAGGAAAGGGGAGTCAGGTTCAACTTATAAAAGCAACAACAACAACAACAAAACCCAGCCGGGCTCCGTGGCTCAGCCTGTAATCCCGCGCTTTTGGGAGGCTGAGGTGAGTGGATTGCCTGACCCGCGGGTTCGAGACCCGCCTGGGCAGCGAGACCTCATCTCTACAATAAATCAAAAAATCAGCCGGGCGTGGTAGCGCGCGCCTGTAATTCTGGATACTCGGAAGGCTGAGGCGGAAGGATCGCCGGAGCCCAGCAGTCGAGGCTGCGGTGGCTGGGAGCGGCCACTGCACTCCAGCCTGGGCGACAGAGTGAGACTCCAACTCAAAAAACACCCAAACAAACAAACAAAAAAAAAAAACCACATCTCAGGCACTTTGGGAGGCCGGGTTCGAGACCAGCCTGGGCAACTTGGCCGAGACCGCATCCCTACAATAAATTTTTTAAAAAGTAGCCGGGAGTGGTGGCGCGTGCCTGTAGTTACAGTTACTTGGAAGGCTAAGGCGGAAGGATTGCCTGAGCCCAACCGGTGGAAGCTGTGACAACCATGATTATGCTACTGCATTCCAGCCTGGGCAACAGAGTGAGACTCCTACTTAAAACAAATAAACAAACAAACAAACCACATCTCTGAGTTAGAAAAGGTCAAAGGAGGCTGGGCACGGCGGCTCGCAGGGGCTCACACCTATAATCCCAACACTTTGGGAGCCAAGGCGGGAGGATCACTTAAGCCCAGGAGTTCAAACCTAGCTTGGGCAACATAGGGAGACCCTGCCTCCACAAAATGGTGGCTCACACCTGTAGTCTCAGGTACTCAAGAGACTAAGGCAGAAGGATTGCCTGAGCCCAGGAGGTCAAGGTTGCGGTGAGCCATGATGGTGCCACTGCACTGCACTCTAACCTGGAACAGAGTGAAACTCCTACAAAAAAAGAAAGGAAGGAAGGAAAGGAAAGGAAAGAAAAGGCAGGAGAGGAGTTTTTATTTTAAGCATTCTCCCATCCACAAAAAAACAAAAACTTTAACAACTACAACAAAAACACTGCCTTCTCTATTTCCATGGCCCTTTAAATTCAGATTCTCAGTCATTCTTCTTTGAACAGCCAGTCAAGGCCGACTAGTGTTGCCCTCTCTCCTTTCTCCTCTCTGTGACCGAGAGAGCCCACTATAAAATGCATATGAAAACCTACAGGAGCCGGGCTCGGTGGCTCAGCCTGTAATCCCGCACCTTGGGAGGCCAAGGTGAGTGAATTGCCTGAGCCCGTGGGTTCGAGACCGGCCTGGGCACCTTGGCGAGACCTCATCTCTACAATAAATGAAAAATCAGCCAGGTGTGGTAGTACACGCCTGTAGTTCCAGCTACTTGGAAGGCTTAGGCAGAAGGATCGCCGGAGCCCAGCAGGTTGAGGCTGCGATGGCCGGGAGTGGCCACTGCACTTCAGTCTGGGTGACGGAGTGAGACTCCAACTCAAAAAAAAAAGAAAACCTACAGGATAGGCCAAGTGTGGTGGCTCAAGCCTGTAATCCCAGCACTTTGGGAGGCAGAGGCGACAGGATTGCCTGAGCCCAGGGGTTTGATACCAACCTGGGTGATTTGGTGAGACCTCATCTCTACAATAAATTTAAAAAATTAGCCAGATGGAAGGATCGCCTGAGCTCAGCATGATAAAACTCAAAGTTCTTAAGTGGGTGCCTGTAAGGGAGCTACATAAGAAAATTTCCAAAAGCAGGAGTGGGGAAGGGCGAGGGGGGGTTGTAGCTCCCTTACAGTGCCAAGGCTCTTCAGGAGCAGACCCTACTTTCTTCTTTTCCATTCTTATCTCTTATTACTTTCACAAAAGAGTCAAACAAATTGTCCTCATTTGCAAAAATTCCCTTTGCAGCTGGTGATTAATCCTCCCTAGAATGCTTCCTCTCAGGCTTGGTGGTTCCCCAGTGTTTTTTTCTTGTAGAGTTTTCTCTAATAATCCTGCCACCCCTGGGCCAACAATGTGTGCCTCTTGTGTGCGGATATACTCCTAGTACATGCTGATATATACTAACCACCTCATTGTATTTACCATTATTTGTTTTTATGTTTGTTTCCCCTTCATAACTAAGCTCTTTGATGGTAGTTGTGTTTTATGTGATGCCCATTGACTAAGTACATATTACGTGCTTAATATCCAATGAAAGAGTGAATGAAAAAAATGAATAAGGGCTGAGCACAGTGGTTCAAACCTGTAATCCCAGCATTTCGGCAGGCTGGGGTGGGAGGATCACTCGAGCCCAGGAGTTTGAGACTAGCCTGGGCAACACAGTGAGAAAAGAAAAAGAAAATGAAGAAACAATGAAGAAAAGAAAAAGAAAATGAAGAAACAAAGGCACAACAATGAGAAGAAAAGAAGGAACATCGCACAGTTGCTTCTCACACGGGGACTGTTCAAAAACAGTAAGGGGCAGCAAGGTTGGGGTTAGAGAAAGCCTCACTCTGGAGCTGAGGATGGACAGGAGGAGGATCTCTAGACGGAGAAAAATATTCAGAGTGTTCTTTTAATCATATGTATAAAGAATTAGATGAATCAGTTCTCAAGGAAATCGTCCTCCGTTTGGGGGCTGAGGGTAAAGAGGTGAGGGAGGTCTGTCACCATAAAGTATAGCTTCAGGCACAGTCCCAGAACCAGTATGTTCCATAAAGGTAGCTCAAATTGTACCTATATGAAGTGCACTGAGGGCCACCATGGGTCCTTTCCTGTCACAAAACCACTCACCAGCTTGACACAGAATGGTATCCCTGCCTAAAAGGCCAGAGAGGCCACGATTCTCATGGTTAGGCAACAGAGGCAGAGACGTGGTCTCTAGAAGACCATTGCTTAAGTGCACATTTCCCTTGAGGATACTAGATGAACTCTGGGTGTCTCAAGCGGAGCCTAGAAGGCACCTGGGTATCTAAAGAAATCAAATAGATTTGAGTCTTCTTAAGAACCTTAAATTATTCAGCTAATTATTACCTTAGAATGCTCAAGAGCTTATTTCAAAGGGAATAAGGCATAGAGCAAGGTTTAGTAGAAGGAGACAACAGCACGAAGAAGAAACAAATCTTCGGGGTTTGGGAAATGGGTCACAAGAACAGAAGCATCACCTGGTGCTTCAATACACCATCTCACTTAATCCTCACAACTTGTGGTAGGACAGATTATTTTATGACAATATTTTTATAATTATAGGTATCATTTACTGAGCATTTACTATATGCTCACTTTACTTAGATAATCTAATTTAGTACTCACAACTCTAATAAGTTTAAAGATAGGAAAGTTAAGACTCAGAGAAGTTATATCGGTCCTAGGGCAAAGAGATTATATGTGTTATAGCCTAGATTTAAATCCAAACCTGTCTTCATTCTCAACCACTGTACTGTACAGTCACATAGCTAATAAATGGCAGTCCTGGGATTTCAATCTAGGCCTATGTGCTTCTCAAACCTACACACTTTACACTCTATGGTCACTTAAGTAGGCAAGAATTGCAGGAGGCTAGAGCACATGTCCAGTGGGAGAGCCACAGAAAACACTTAAAATATTTCATAACTTTGCCTTCCCAGGGACTGTGCTCTAAATGCCTCTCATCACTGCTGAGCAATCTATATCCTAGGGAACTCAAACAGAGTCAGAAGTCATTTGACACTGAACTTTATTTGTTCTGACCATCTGATATACTGTCCACCCTGCTGGGAACCAGAGACAATGCCCATGAGGGTGGCCCTCTGCAGAAGGCCAGAGACACGCCAAAATAAACACTGTGGTTAGGCTTCAGGAATAGCCTAGGAGGACAGGTTCTATGACTGCTAGTTAACTACTCAGTCATGTCTTCTTCTCAGCTCTAAACGAGTACTCATTCTTCAAAAGACTGTCAGAGCTGCACCCTGGAGACAAATAACTGACTTCGGTGTCTAAAGTCTTGATTACAAAGAAATATAAGTTCCCCAGTTGTCTATGACAATCCAAATGCCTTTACTGGCCATGACCAAAATACGGGGTTGAGGTGGGAAGGTCAGAGATAGAAAGTAACTTTGGGATTTCCAGTAAATGTCAAGCAAGGGCTGGCAAACTGATTCCAGCAGAAAAACCCTGCAAAATACAACTGGGGTTGCCTTAGAAACATTTTCCTAGGAGCTACTTGTGTTATACAATCAGTGCTGAGCAAGTAAGGGCTTGCTTCCCAGAGGGCTCATGCCACCCACTTTGACTTCTTAATGCAGATCCCACTCGTATCTCATGGAGTTGCTGCTTCCCAAAGGAGGCAAAAGGTAAAAGTGTTTCCCACCATCAAACAGCGATCCTCTCCTCTCTGCTTTCTAGGGAGTTGGGACCTCCTTCCTTGGTAGGAGGGCTCAAGAGTGAGTAAGCCCTGAGAGCAGTGGAGAAAACTCTGCCTAGGGTACCCAGTCTTCTCTGCTATTCCAGCTCTCACCACCTGAGG